GGGTCACGGGAAGGGGTCACGGGAAGGGGTCACGGGAAGGGGGTCACGGGAAGGGGTTCACGTGAAGGGGGTCAAGGGAAGGGGTTCACGTGAAGGGGGTCAAGTGAAGGGGGTCACGTGAAGGGGGTCACGGAAGGGCTGTAGGGGAGGGAGGAAGGGAGGGGCCGACGGTGGAGACGAGGTGGTGAGGCTTTAAGAGAGGAACGGGAGGAGGTTGAGGAGGGGGTGTGGGGACTGCTTAAATTTGCACTGGCAGTGCTGAGTCTTTGCCTTCGTGGGCAGTGTTGGGTCTATGGGCAGTGTTGGGTCTATGGGCAGTGCTTAGTCTTTGCCTTCGTGGGCAGTGTTGGGTCTATGGGCAGTGCTGAGTCTTTGCCTTCGTGGGCAGTGTTGAGTCTATGGGCAGTGTTGGGTCTATGGGCAGTGCTTAGTCTTTGCCTTCGTGGGCAGTGTTGGGTCTATGGGCAGTGTTGGGTCTATGGGCAGTGCTGAGTCTTTGCCTTCGTGGGCAGTGTTGGTTCTATGGGCAGTGTTGGGTCTATGGGCAGTGCTGAGTCTTTGCCTTCATGGGCAGTGTTGGGCCTATGGGCAGTGTTGGGTCTTTGGGCAGTGCTGAGTATGGTACAGTGTTGGGCCTATGAACAGTGTTGAGTCTGGGCAGTGAGTCTATGGGCAGCGTCGAGTCTATGGTGCAGTGTTGAATCTAAGGGCAGTGTCGAGTCTATGGTGCAGTGTTGCGTCTATGGTGCAGTGTTGAGTTTATAGGCAGTGTTGAGTTCAAGGAGCAGTGCTGCTCCATGTACAGGGAAAGTTGATTCCAGTGAAAGGGTGGCAAGGAGGGGGATGGATCGAACACGGGATTTGGTCACCACAGGGAGGAGTGACAGAGACAGAGAGAGAGACAGACAGAGAGAGACACACAGAGAGAGAGACACAGAGAGACAGAGAGAGAGGGAGACTGGGAACGAAGCACGCGAGGTAGGGACATGGGGAAGGAAACGAGAGAGAGACAGGGAGAGGAACACGCGCATTAGAGAGCACACGCTAGTGCATTACATCACTGAAGCTCTTGAAAACAAACACACACGCAAGTGAGTGAGTGGGGCTTGGGCAAGGATGCGTCACGGTCAGAGGGGGACTTTGATGATGGCCAAGAATAATTAACTATAAACTAAACTAAAAACATTTTAAATGTTACCAGGTAAGGCCCACCGAGCAATATCACTCTTTTTCAGAAGCGACCTTCGCTATCACAAATGATAGTCCACGTGGAAATGTATAGCAGCCGAATATTTTAAACCCATGTTGCCAAATGTGGAGGGAAAAAGCAGAGGACCCTGGGAGAGGCACACACAAACTCCAAATAAATATACACAGCAGCAGGCGTCGGGGTCGGGAGCGAACCCACAACCTCCTGGATACCAGGCGAGGTAGTTAACATCTCCTAGCCACCGTGATGATGAGAGAGCGAGACACACAAACTCCAAATAAATATACAGCAGCAGCAGGCGTCGGGGTCGGGAGCGAACCCACAACCTCCTGGATACCAGGCGAGGTAGTTAACATCTCCTAGCCACCGTGATGATGAGAGAGAGACACACACAAACTCCAAATAAATATACAGCAGCAGCAGGCGTCGGGGTCGGGATCGAACCCACAACCTCCTGGATACCAGGCGAGGTAGTTAACATCTCCTAGCCACCGTGATGATGAGAGAGAGACACACACAAACTCCAAATAAATATACAGCAGCAGCAGGCGTCGGGGTCGGGATCGAACCCACAACCTCCTGGATACCAGGCGAGGTAGTTAACATCTCGCATCCGGAGTGGCAGCCAAGTAAATAGAAACGCGTCGTGGGAGACGTCCACCGGGGAGATGGAGCGATGAAAACGGCTCGTGTGCCGGTGCCGGCTGGATCCGTAACATCGCAGGGATCGGCTGGGGGAGTGCAGCGGGGCGGGAGGAGGAGGCCTTCATCTAGCAGTGGATTGACCATGGCCGATGAATGAATGAGTGAGTCACTGTAATCTCGTGTCTGGTGGCACGCGCAGAGAGAGACACGCACAGGCGCCGTGATGCATCGTTTCCATCGACACGAACTCACGCGCGGCCCCGACACTCATCCGTCCGCCACCGCATTCCTCCCGAGACAAAGCACGGCAACTACAACGTCCGCTATGCGGACGTGACTTCACCGCGGCGCGTGTGCCAGGCTAGGTGCACTTTGATCTCAAGTGAAGTTTCTAAACCCTGGCAGGCGGATATGCAAACGCATGCCAATACAAAGGTTGCCCCCCTCCCCCCTCCCCCCCTTGTCGCCTTGGACAGGATGTTGGGCAAGTGTGAGCACCTATTAATACCGGAACGGCATCCGAAGTCGTGGTTTGGTCAGAACCACGTCCGGGGCCCCCTTTGTCTTCCCCCTGGTGATGGTTACGAACCGCGCCAGATACTCATGTAAGGCTGAGTCGACCTAGGGGAGGTCCCCGACCGGTTCGGATATTCACCACTGATATAGGTCGTGAGCGGGAATCGAACTCGCCACTCGGGACGCTGGATGCGTAGTTAGGTGCGCTAACTACTGCGCCACCGCTCCCCGCAATATACAAAAAACACCCGCGTACACACAGAGTGACGAGTCATATCTGAACCGCGCCCGTGGCGCCCCTAGGTTGACTCGGCCCTAAATGAGTACCTGAATCGGTGTGCACACGTCAGTCTCGCGGAGACAAAGGCTCTTGCCCCAAACACTTGCCCCAACATTTTGCTAGAGGCTATACGGGGCTCTTTGTCTTTGTGTATGTATTTCAGAGCCAGCACTCGCCCTCTTATGAATGGACAATGATGGAAGACAATATGTGGAATAGCCTCGGCATGGGGAATGTGGAATTCACACACTTGAAAAACACTCTCGCGACTTGTTTTTGTAAATAAAAAATCTAAAAGCCTTTTTCTTGCAACATCACCCACGACTGGGCGATGATAGTGGAGGGGGTGGGGTGTCACGTGACTCGCCCACGATGGAAAAACTTACGTAATCCACCACCACCAGCACCTACCCCACGTGTCCCCTGTGTACAACCCCCACGTGTACCCCGTTGTTCATAACAGTCTGGCGCTCGCTGCTGAGCCGCCCGGGTGCTCGCAAACATGAACAGCAGCGTGCTTGGAATTCCTGCACTGAGAATGAGGAACACGCGGATTAGAGAACGTCACCATGGTTCACGACATCACCGACGCTGTTAATGGGCTCCACGGTGGCTAGGAGATGTGAACTACCTCGCCTGGTTATACACGAGGGTCGTGGGTTCCATCCCCGACCCTGATGCCTGTTGCATATTTGTAGTTTCTGTGTTCCGTCTCTCTCTCTTTCACAGTGGACGCGTGGATTTTTCTCTTGGTGCTTGGGAGTTTTTTCCCCCTCCACATTTACAATCAACATCACGCGTTTAGAGTAGTTGGCGGCCGCGAGACATTTCCCCGCGTCGATGAGCCACTTTGCTGGGCTAGCATTTGTGACAGTCAGGTCACTTATAAAAACATCTATACAGCTCAGTGGGCCTTACCCGGTAAAATAAAAACGTTTATAGTTTAGTTTTGTAGCTAATTAAACCGATGTGGTGCCTGGGCAGGACTCTTTCGGGCCGATGGTCGATGCTCAAGACTAACAACGGAGTGGTAGTGGCCTTCATCTCGCAGTGGATGAATCACGGCTGATGATGACTCATGACGCTTACTGACTTAAACATCAGCGTGAATTCAGGACAGGGACTTCGCGATATTCCAACATTCGACTTAAGAACTTTCAGAGATATGTCCAGTTTCCTGTTCGTACCGAGAGTCGTAAGTTCAACAGCCGTGGAATAGATGGGGGTGGTGGCATTTACATCTGCAGAACGTGATGAACCAGTAGCATCTCCATCTGCAGAACGTGAACAACCAGTGGCATCTACATCTGCAGAACATGAAGAACCAGTGGCATCTACATCTGCAGAACATGAAGAACCAGTGGCATCTACATCTGCAGAACATGAAGAACCAGTGGCATCTACATCTGCAGAATATGAAGAACCAGTGGCATCTACATCTGCAGAAGATGAAGAACCAGTGGCATCTACATCTGCAGAACATGAAGAACCAGTGGCATCTACATCTGCAGAACATGAAGAACCAGTGGCATCTACATCTGCCGAACGCGGAGAATCGGAGGCATCGACATTTCCATGAGATTATATACATTTTCAAGCCATTCCCAGTGTTTAGTGTACACGCCGTACAACAAGTGTGGAATTGACAGGAGTAAAGTTGGACTTACGGACAAATGGACGTACGAACAGTGCCTCTGTAACCTAACTCGTTCGTAAGTAGAGGAGTGCCTGTGTGTTGCTGGTAAGAGTCTCAACCCACAGTGAGGAGGAGGAGGGAGATTGGGAGTCTTCATACATTGGCATCATGGGTGGAGTCTGCGGTGGGGGGCACGGGGGGGAACAAATCCCCCCCCCCCCCAAAACTGGTCACCTTTATTAATTTACTTTCAGTAGTTTACGATAATGAAGAATTAATTATATGCACCTGCGATTCCTAATTGAAGAGATCAAACGAACCCTCCCTTCCGCCTCCCCCCAAATATAGAAGTCAAACTCTGCCTATGATCGCACGCGTACGCAACAATCATGTCGGGCGGCGGAGGGCACACGACATTAACTTTGGCAGAACGACACGTGTCAAAACTGTTTTCCGCCCCGCCCCCCCCCTCGTAAAATAACGTGGAGTGACGAATAGCACGCGAGGGGAGGGGGGGATGCCTATTGTCCGATTCATTGCTTTTGCTGGACAGAGAATTAACATTTCCCAAGGCTGCGTCAAGAACTGGAGAGAGTCTTTTCACACTGGCGGTTTTGTTCTCCCTGCCACCGCCACCACCGCCACCCCACCCCGCCGAGTGGTTTTGCGTGACGCAACAACGACCGAAGCGTTTCGTTTAGCGCCCAGGACGACCGCCGCCGTACGAACAAGCCACCCGCATGTCGGCCAAGGTTCGCCCCGTGGACTGGTTCGGTCGGTTTGGGGCGGGTTTATATTCATTGTTGGCGGTTCTTTTTCTCTTGGCCCTTCCTTAGAAGCGGAGTTAGAATTCACACCGCCAACTCGGCTCTCCCTAAGACCTTCTAGAGCATCACCGGAATTCCCATCGCTCGCCCAGCTCTCGCTGCCCATTGCGGAACGTTAGTTGTAATGTTCACGTCACCAGGTTGTAGTGGTAGTGCCTTACGCCGGTGTCTGGCCCGAGACCTCCGCTGCGAGCACGAGTGCAAGACGCGAGCGGGCGCCGGTGTCGCCGGAAACACCGGCGCGTGTTCCTCGCGAGTGCAGACAGAAGGCGCCCAACCTGCCGAACGCTCTCGCTCCACACGGATCTCTCTCTGTCTGTGTGCGCGTGTCTCTCGGCGTTGCACACGACCAGGGGAGCGGCGGGCGCAGTGGTTAGCGCGCCGTGCCTCGAGCCCAAGCGGACCGAGTTGGATTCCCTGCTCGCGAGCAATCGCTGTGACCGGCGAATATTTGAGCCGTTCCCCGGGCCTCCCTGTAGGTCGACTCAGCATTAAATGAGTACTGTACCTGGCACGGTGTGTAACATCATCAGCACTGGGGGAGACAAAGGCGGCCGGGCGTGGTTGCTGGCAACCCAACCCCCTTCGTGTGCCGTGCCGGCCTTCATAGTTGCTTACTCGCTAACAGCACTTGCCCCGACAGTCTGTTAAGGCTACACGGGGGATCTTTGTCCTTGTCGTGTGTCCGTGCAGGCCGCAACCCGCCACTCGGACTCCCACACGGGGGGGCCTTGCCGCCCTAAGGGGCCCCCCCCCGCCCCCTCGTCGGCCCCCCACAACGCTCTTCCTCGCAGTGCTTCCTGGGTGCAGCTGTCTGGCCACGAAGGTGGGTCGCAGGCCGCTCACAGGTCGACTCGGCCGCGGTCGTTTAAAGGTTAACGCTGGAAAGACAAAGGCGGTCGGGCGTGTGGTAGGTATTGAATGATTTCACTAGTCACTGTCCTCCCCCCCCCCCGACCTCTCGCTCCTCCCCCCACACGATTGGCAGCTAAGCAATCGTAGTGCCTCTAGTGGCTGCTGGGGTCACGTGAGGCTGTCACGGGTTCAGTGAGAGGCGATTGACCACCGTCACGTGACCGCTGTCACATGGCCGCGTGGATACGTCCACACTGTCGTGTGACCGCTGTCACGCGCGTTCCTCTTGTCCTGCGATGTGTGGGTGAAAGTTGGCATAGTGGGGGGGGGGGGGGGTAGAGGGGGCACATCGACCGATCGTCTCGGTGAACCCATGGGCCCGTGGGTCTGTCCGGTGACCTCCTGCCAGCGAGCGTTCGACACTTCACGTGGGCTGGGTTCTCCGCTTTCCTCCCAGAGCTAAAGCCACACTTTAACACACACACTCACACCACACACGCGCAGAGTGGTGCTGCTGTTGGCCAAAGCCACATCCCATTACGGAGAAATGACACCGCAAATGATTCGGCAGGAATTCCACAGCTGCAGCAGCAGCAGCATCACCCTGTCTGCCGAAACCACTAAACCATTTTTTATTTTACTCGGTAAGGCCCACTGAGCTACATAGCTCTTCTTTCAGAAACGGCCTGGCTATCACAAATGATATCCCAATGAAGTGACTCATGTGGAAATTTATAGCAGCCAAATACTCTAAATGCACGTTTACAAATGTGGAGGGATAAACGGAAGGACCAGGAAAAAAATCCACGCGACCACGGGCACAGAGCCACGCAAACTCCACAGATACAGCAGGCGTCAGGGTACGGATAGAACCCACGACGTCCTGCATGCCCGTGAGGTAGTTAACATCACCTAGCCACGACGGCGCCCCTTGGCAAGACCCTCCTGGTAAAAGTCTTGAGACTCTAACCCTAACCCTAAACCGGAGGAATAATGAGGAGGAATAATGGTAATCGTAATAATAATAGTTCACTCATGCCGTGCGCTCCCCCCGGCCCCCCCCCTTCACCCCGCAGGGAGCCTGATGCCCTCACACTCGGGCACGGTGCTCAAGCGCTTCTGTCCCCACGAGCAGCGCTGCCTGCAGCTGCTCATGGGCGATGCGCCGCTGCGCCCCTTCGTCCCCGAGTTCCACGGCGACACCACCATCACCACCGCCACCGTCGTCGCCGTCGCCGTGACAACGACAACGGCGCCGCCCTCCCGGTACCGCTCGTCGTCCCAGCGCTACAACCGCATGCAGGACCTGCTCGCGGGGTTCCGAGCGCCGGCCGCAATGGACTGCAAGATGGGCGTGCGGTGAGCGAGGGCCGGAGTCTGGTGCTGCTGCTGTTGCTGCACTGCTGCTGCTGCACTGCTGCTGATGTTGCTGCGCTGATGCTGTTGCTGCTGCTGCTGCACTGCTGATGCTGTTGCTGCTGCTGCTGCACTGCTGCTGCTGCTGCACTGCTGCTGCACTGATGCTGCTGCACTGCTGCTGTTGCTGCTGCTGCGGTGCTGATGCTGCTGCTGCGGTGCACGCTCGGTCACGGCTCGTGGGCCGACGGACACACGGGTGGACAGGCGGGCGGACGGCTGGGTGGATGGACGGGGACGGACAGACGGATACACAGATGGACACACGGGCACACGGGCAAACGGGCAGATGAATGGACACGTGGCCGGATGGCCAGACGGATGGACGGATGGACGGACACACGGGCGGGCAGACGGACGGACAAAGCAACGGAGAGACGGACGGACGAGCGGACGAGCATTCGTAGCCACGCTGGTCCTGGGGCGCCGCTCAGGCGACCGCTTTGCGCGGCTCCAACACGCCCATTGTGAGCCACAAACGCTGCTGGATCAAGGCCTCCCCCCCCCCTAAGCTGTCGCCGTCCCGCATGACGCCCGCGACATCACGATCCGCCCAGCACCCACGCACGGGCTGATTGCACCATCGCTCCGTCTCCTGGCTGGACGTCCTCTCGGGCGCATTCCCTCATTCGTCTGCCGCTCCGCCGTTGCTCTCGACCATCGGCCATCGGCCCTTCCGCCCGTGACGAGCCCTGCCGAGTTGCTCCGCAATCGGTTCCGTTGGCAGTTTGGGTGATGTGGTGAACCGGGGCCTTGTCTTCTCACCTTGCGGGTTCCTCATTCTCTCTCGGTGTAGTAATGCCAAGCACGCTGTTGTCAACAAACCGTAAACTATTTTGGAAATAGTTTAAAATGATGGTCGCAAACACCTGCCCACTCAGCCGCACGTTCTGTAATGAACAACGGGGTAAACTCGTGTACACGGGGTATGCGTGGCGGGTGTACACGGGGTATGCGTGGTGGGTGTACATGGGGTACGCGTGTGGGGGTGTACACAGAGTACGCGTGTGGGGTGGATGACGTAAGTTTTTCCATTGTGTGTGAGTCACGTGACCCCCGCCCCCCCTCGTGTGCCGTGCCGGCCTTCATAGGTGCTGCTCTTGAACAGCAACTTCCCCCAAACCTGTTGAGGCTTCGGGGTGATGTTTGTGTTTGGTGTGTGTGTGTGCGTGCGTGCGCGCGTGTGTGTGTGTGTACATGAGCGTTTAACTTTAATCCCCAATAGTGTGATCCCCTTGGGTGTATTGGTCTGGCTCAATGAGTCGTGGAGACCAGCAGTGACCCCCCCCCACCCCCCCGGTAAACCCCACAGAGGGCTTTGACTAAGTAAATATATTTACACAGTAATTGGCCTCTTCCTCCACATATCTGCCCATCCGCTTAAGAAAAATACACAGTGTATTTCTTTTACACAGCCCATCAGCCCATTCCGTGGCCTTCTGCTGGGGAGAAGAGCATCTCATCAGCAGCGTTGGTTCAACGTGAGCGAAACTTCGATGTTTAGCGAGTGTCTCGTTATCGTCAGCAGCAGAGTCAGGCCGAGCTTGAACCAGTGCTGGTGAATTGCCCGATGTGTTGATATGCAAGGGCCCTCTGGCATTGTCACTCATGACGTCACCGCTCGGCCACCCTGATGAGCACGTGGGGCAGCGATGATCTCCTCCCCCCCCCCCTCCCTCCTCCGAGTCGTGCCGCGCGATGTCCGACGATACGCTCCACGTGCCGGGAGCCGAGATCCGTTCCTGTTCTCGTGGGAAAAAACGATATCGCGATGGTCGTGGCGCCGTCAACGTTCACGTCGAATCGCGTCGCACCGTGTCACGGTGACCCCGGGTGGTGACCGTGGTGACCTCCGTCCCTCCATCCATTTGTCTCTCCGTTCACCCGTCCGTTGGTCCGTCGGTCTGTCAGTTTGACCACCAGTCCACACGTTCATTCTGACCTCTGTCTATTCGTCCGTCTGTCCATGCGTTCCAACGTCCAACGTTTCCATAAGACCTGTCGGGCGTGGTGCTGGCCACCCACCCCCTCGTGTGCCGTGCCGGCCTTCATAGATGCCACCCGATAACAGCACTTGCCCCAAGAGTCTGTTAAGGCGATATGGGGGGGATCTTTGTCTTTATCTTTGTGTCCTTGCGTGTGTGTGTCCGCGTGTCTGTCCGTGTGTCTGTCCATGTATCCGTGCGTGTCCCCGTGCGTGCGTGTATCCGCGTGTCCGTCCATCCGTGTGTGCGTGCGCTTGCCTGCGGGGCAGCACGTACCTGGAGGAGGAGCTGGCGCTGGCGCGCCGCGACCCCCAGCCGCGCGCCGACATGCTCGCCAAGATGGTGGCGGTGGACCCGACGGCGCCGACGGCGCTGGAGCGCGAGCGGGGCGCCGTCACCAAGCCGCGCTACATGCAGTGGCGCGAGCTCTGCAGCTCCTCCGCCTCGCTCGGATTCCGCATCGAGGCCACCAAGGTGAGGAGGGGAGGGGGCGAGCGCGACGTGACGTCGTTATTGACGACGACGGCGCTCTTATCGGTCAATTGCTGACGCCACCGCCACCAGCGTCGTCGTCATCGTCGTCATCATCATCACAGCCACCACCAGTATCACCACTCCCACCATCACCACCACCATCATCTCCGTCACCACCACGACCACATCCACCATCGCCGCTGCTCGCAACAGTTCCAATGTTTTCGGTGACACCACCACGATGATCACTAACACCTACATCACCACCATGGTCACCACGGTCACCACGATCATCGCGATAATCACCATCACCACTTACCATCACCACTACCACGATTACCACGATCACCACTCACCACCACTACCATCATCACTATTATCACCATGATCATCACTATTATCACCACCACCATCACCACCACCATCACCACGATCATCACTCACCACCACGACCATCACGATCATCACTCACCACCACGATCATCACTATTATCACCATGATCATCACTATTATCACCACCACCATCACCACCACCATCACCACGATCATCACGGTCATCACTCACCGCCACGATCATCACGATCATCACCACCACGATTACCACGATCATCACAATCATCGCGATCGTCGTTCACCGTCTCCGTGACCACGTTGACCGCCGCCGCTGCCTGCGCGATGCTGTGACGCGTTCAGAAGAGCGACGGGACGCTGAGGCAGGACTTCAAGAGGACCAAGTCGAGGGATGAGGTGCGCGCCGCACTCGAGGAGTTCGTGGGCGGAGACGCCGTCGTCATGGTGAGGGGCGACGGGGAGTGACGGGGAGTGATGAGCGATGATTGCCGTTTGATGTCACGGCCGTGACTCTGTTTGCTTTGCTTTGGCGTTCTCCGGTGACCCTGGGTCACCGCTCCAAATGAGACGTGCACATCCTGGTCTCCTGGGCTCTCCACGCCGGTCCAACAAACACACACGGCACGTCACCTGACGCGAACCTGGCCCCCTCGTGTCGAACCGGTCCGGCGCTCAACCCCCGCATCCTGGGTTGTTTTTGAATCCTGAGGCAGGCGCTTGCCCGTTTCTCCCTTCACGGGGGACGTAATGGCCACGTGAGGATGATGATGATGTTGGCCGTGTCGCTGATGGGACCACTGGGCCAGCAACGGTGAGAACCCTGGGTTTTGAATCTGGGTTCAAGGTGACTCGGCACCTGGGCTGCGAGCGGGGAATCAGTCTGACGGTGCCAAATGTTGTGTTATCAGGGGGAGGTGGTGGGGTTCGTGATGCTCGTGTATGTATGTTGAACTTCTTTCGCACCATATGTAGCCAACCGTGCTAATAGGTGGTGCGGGGGGAGGATGACAAACTCGGCACAAAAACTGCCGTTCTAAAGAAATTGGTTTTCAACGTAGGTGATTTGAAAGTGCATAGCTCCGGTGGCTTCCTGATGTCGGAAGAGCGCGTTCCAGACGGCAAAGGAAACGCATCGGAAAAGCGCTCGACGCAGTGTCCAACGTCTTTGTTCGATGGCCAGTCAAAAGCCGCCCCTGCTGCTGTGAGGATGAGCGGAGTTCGCGTGATGATAGTTTATGCTCCTTGGCAAGATGATGGCCTAATTAAGTTTCTGAAATGCCACTCGCAGAGACACTGAGCTGGCACGGCTGAGATCCTGGTTTGGAATCCGAGTGTGAGCCACCGCCTGTGATTCAACCGGATTCTCAAGCGCAACGAGTTGATGGTCTCAGCCAGGTCACGAATAACTCGCATAGAGACCCGTAGACTCGCAGAGACGCCCATAGACTCGCAGAGACGCCCATAGACTCGCAGAGACGCCCAGAGACTCAAATAGACCCCCATAGACTCGCAGAGACGCCCATAGACTCACATAGACCCCCATAGACTCGCACAGACGCCCATAGACTCACGTAGAGACCCACAGATTCGCCACGTGTGATGGGACAGAATGGTGTTTTACGTAAATACTGCGTCGTTGTTGGGCTGACGTGTGATGGTGATGCACCCGTGCTGCCTGCATCTGTGCTGTGCGCTACAGGAGAGCTACATCAGGAGGCTCCACGCACTCCGAGTGGCGCTCGAGGTCTCTCCATTCTTCCGCTCGCACGAGGTGCAGCACAGCGGGCACGGGGGACACGGGGGACACGGTGGACCCACGCGAGACCCACGCGGGGCCCAATTTGGGCCCAATTCTGGCCCAATTCGGGCCCCGTTCGGGCCCCGTTCGGGTCCCGGCGCGTGCGTTGGTCGCCGCAATCGATGCGTGGGGGGGTCGGGGTTCGGTGGGGTTGGCGGAGAGCGGCTGCCCTGGTGAATACTGCGGTGTGCGACGGCCGTGGTAATCCCAGTAGTCACTGTGGTCGTAGTAGTCACGGTGCGATCGCGCACGTGTGGTAGCCCGACGGGCAGCAGGCAGCACAGGGACAGCTGCCGCTGGGGGGGCCCTCTCCAGGGCGTTTGAGATGTGAGGAGATGTAAATCGCTCGGAGACCCTCGCAGCGCAGGGGAGGAGGAGGGTGGCGCGATGTTAACACAACACAAGTCGTTGTCGTGGTTATTCCGATTGCCATCGTTAACATTTCTCAACGTTATTATTCTCGTTACCGTCGTTATCTTCATTCTCATAATCATCATCGTTATTATCGTCGTCATCGTCGTCATCATCGTCACCACGGTTGTGCTGTCCTTCTCCCCGCCGCTCCCCCGCAGGTGATCGGCAGCTCGCTGCTCTTCGTGCATGACGCAGGCGGCCCCGCCGGCGTGTGGATGATCGACTTCAGCAAGACGCGGCCGCTGCCGCCCGGCACGGCGCTCGACCACCGCACGGCGTGGCGCGAGGGCAACCGCGAGGACGGCTACCTGGGCGGCCTGGACAACCTCGTCACCATCCTGGAGGAGGTGGCGGCGGCGGCGGCGGAGGCGGCAGGGGCCGAACCGCGGGGCCGGCGGCGCTGCTAGCGACGCCACGCGGAAACGGGGCGACGCGGATGTGGGCACCGTCGACGATCAGCCCGCCAACGCCATCGCAAATACCGCCGCCACCGCCACCACTATCTCAGACGCCACCAACACTGCCACCCAACACCACTACCACCGCCGCCACCACCACCATTGCCACCACTATCACCAGTGCCACCACCGACAACCACCACAAACGCCACCACTGCCGCCACCACCACCGCCGCCACTATCACCACTATCACCACTATCACCACTATCACCGCCGCCACTACCACCACCACCACCACCACTCCCGGGTCACTACTGCTTCAGCCAACACCACCTCCGCCACCGTAACGAGCGACAACTACCACCATCGCCGGCGTCGCGTGCGCGTTATTTATTCCCATTTTATTTGTACAGCGCTTCCGGTTGATTCTCATTGGTCGTCGAATCTCGCGCGTTATCGGGGCGGGTTTGTATTTGTAGAGTCGGCGCGCGGACCTGGACTTGGACTCGGATCACCGCAGCCGCTGCCCAAACGGGCGCCGGGTTATTTATTTTATTTCCGAGCGTTTCCGCGTGAACCTCGGCCGTGCGGAGTTGACCCCCCCCCCCCCCCCCCGCCCGCTCGCCCGTTTGTTCGGCTGTTCCGTTGAGCTTTGAGCGAGCCCCTCGTGAACCGGAGGGGTGGGGGTGGTGGAGAAAACTTCACTGGAGCCACCGGCTCTTAAACGTCGATCTGCTCCTCTGTAGGTGAGACTCCGGGGACGGCTGGGGGTCGTGGTTGGGGGGGGGGGGGGGGCTGGTGGGAAATCGGATCGCGGCCCGGGCTCCCGTGAAAAGGCACGCAGGGATTAGAGGCGTAAGACACTACCACTAGACTACAAAGGTACGCCTATGCGTAGCAATCCTATAATTTTCTTGTACATAATCCTACTGATGGGTTTATGACTAAATGTATTATTTTAATAATAATCGTCATTATACTAATGTACTGGCAAAATAATTCCCGTACTGGTGTTACAAGCTGTTCCAATTCAGGTTCAATATGAAGTGCAGGGGTGAGTTTTTTTTATTCCAAACGGATTTTGGTGAAAGTTGCCACATTTCCGGCACGGTGAAGGAAGGCGACGGATCTCTCCCTCAGTTTCTCTGAGCTGTGACTTTAATTCCCTGGAGGGTTGGGAGGGGGGCGGGGGGGGGGGGTTCGTGCGTTTGGGGGTCTCCATCTCACTGGAGTGACCCCAAGTCCGCAGGAGCGTGGGATCAACTGGACAAATGCCGTGGATGGATATCCACACGGTGAGCGTTGGCACTGGCGAGTGTCGGTAAGTGCAAATGGGTATTTGTGTCGGTGAGCGCGTGCTGGTGAGCGCGTGCCGGTGAGCGCGTGCCGGTGAGCGCGTGCCGGTGAGCGCGTGCCGGTGAGCGCGTGCCGGTGAGCGCGTGCCGGTTAGCGCGTGCTGGTGAGCGCGTGCTGGTGAGCGCGTGCTGGTGAGTGTGTAGATGCGTATTTGGATTGGCGAGTGCTGTCGATGAGTGTCGGTAGGTGCATATGGGCATTTGGCGCAGTGTGTAGCACAGGTGGAGGAATCTGCCAGTCATCTCAGTCGGTCAACCCACGGCACCTGGGTCTGTCCGTGACCTCCCGCCAGTGAGCCTTCGACACTTCACGCGATAGCCTCAGCGTGCACCTAGCCTGGCACCAATGCCGTGGTGCTATCACTGGCACGTGGCGGCGAATGGCGGCTATGGGTATTTGTAAGTACCTGCATCGTTTTGAGTGTTTGCTGCTGAGTAAGTGTACGAGTTGGTCAGTGTGTGTATATAAGTGAGTACGTGTAAGTATTGATGCGTGTCGGCTGGTGAGTGAGTCTATTCAAGTATACGAGCTGGTGAGTTCGTGTATATAAGTGAGTGCGTGTATATGAGTACGTGCGTGTAAGTATTGGTGAGTGTGAGTATTCGAGTGTACGAGCTGGTGAGTGCGTGTATGCAAGTACGTGCGTGTAAGTATTGGTGAGTTGGTGAGTATTCGAGTGTACGAGCTGGTGAGTGCGTGTATGCAAGTACGAAAGTATTGGTGAATGTTGAGTCCCATTGGGTGGGGAGCGGTGGTGTAGCGGAGTTAGCGCTACAAAACCCGGCCACCCGAGTTCGATTCCCGCTCACGGCCAACACCCGTGATGATTATCTGAACGGATTCTGGGCCTCCCCTAGGTCGACTCAGCCTCAAATGAGTACCTGGTGCAGTGGCGTATAGACATCGCCACTGGGGAGACAAAGGCGGTCGGGCGTGGTGCTGGCCACCCATTCCCTCGTGTGCCGTTCAGGCCTTCATAGGCGCTCGCTAACAGCACTTGCCCCAACAGTCCGTTAAGGCTACAATACGAAGTCTTTATGTCGCGTGATTGCTCAATTTAATTTAATTGTAGACACAAACGGAAATCCTTAAACTTAGCCAGAACCTTAATGAGACCTTTTAGAATTGAGACCTCTCATCCTGTCACCAATTACCGCTGCGATGGGTATTGCAATTAACCTGCTGCTGTTGCTGTACCTGTAACCACTGTAATAACTACACGCACGGTGGCAAGACTTTAAGTAATAGTATTTGTACTATTATAATACTCGTTATTACATCTTGATAATGTTTATCTCATGAAATACACTCAGGGCATATCGCACGGAGGGCTCGCGTGGTGTGTTAATGATTGACGCCGGGCGCGATTATTTATTAGTGCTTATTGAAATCGTGAGGACACAGGCGCAGCCCCTGCAAGGGCTCGCTGGATACCCGTGCTGGCGGAAAGGATGGCCTCCTGCCACTCGAGTTGTGGAGCGCTTAGCAGCGTGTTGCATCTCCCGGCGCGGCGGTCGACACACTGGTGCAAGTTTACTAAGTCTAACCCCCCCCCCCCTTCCTCTTCCCCCCATATCTATCCAACCCAGCAGGATAAAAGGCGTAGTAGACCCCCAAGCGCACTGCTATTACATCGTGGGTCAGCAGGTGCGGTAGGGTAAAGTGTGGGGCGACTCGCATCTCTTCCAAGACGTCAGGCCAGAAATGCACCCCCCCCCCTCTTTTTTTGCATGAAGGTTCTCTCTATTTATAGATCTCTCCTCGAGTTTCCTAGAGAGTTGGGTAGTTCGCTATGGAGTGGGAGAGTTGTCTGTAGAGTGGGGGTCTTTAGCTATAGAGTGGGGGGGTTCCCTGTAGAGTGGGGGGGTTCCCTGTAGAGTGGGGGGGGGGTCTCTGTAGAGTGGGGGTCTTGGCTATAGAGTGGGGGTCTTAGCGATAGAGTGGAGGAGTTCGCTATAGAGTGGGAGAGTTGTCTGGAGAGTGGGGGGATTCCCTGTAGAGTGGGAGAGTTGTCTGGAGAGTGGGGGGATTCCCTATAGAGTGGGGGGGGGGGGGGGTCCCTACAGAGTAGAGGAGTTTGTTATTGACTGGTGGAATTCCCTAGAGTGGGGGGGAGGAGGCCCCTTCCGCCAGCAGTGGCGTGAGTGAACGATTGCAGGGCTGCGCCTTTAGCTTCTCCCGCCGCTGTAAATCATTACCGTAATTACGAGTGCCGCTGCGACTCGGAAGGAATGTGGTGGTGGTGGCGGTGGTGGTGGTGGAAACGCGGCTTCGTTTACACGCCAAAGGCTCGCAGCCTCTCGCCTCAATGCATCCCTCTGTGTGTGTGTGGCTGTGGGAGTTCACCCCCCCCCCTCTCGCAATAGCCGCTAATTCCCGATTGCTCCACACAGCCTCTCTCTTTCTCACACAGAGATAATTGTGAGCTCACGGTTAGAGAGAGAGAGAAAAAGCACACGCACGCAAGCTGCCAAGCTTTTAAGTAACACGATACATACTCGTATACTCTTTCACGTGCATTATTATAAATCTTTTCTAGTTTTACGCGCAACTGAAACACCCCATCTCTACGCTTTGGTTCTTTCGGTAAAGTCACGTGGGTAGAAAAAAGAATAATAGATTACGACGTTTCGGCCGCATCACAAGCGTCCGTCTTGAGGTGAGAGAGACTTTGACTTTTAAACAACTTTTATTGCCGCCAGCAGCAAAAGCACTGGAGGCGATTTCAATATGAAATGCACAGTCACCAGCAAACAAAAGAAAACAAACGTTACAAATCGTTACAAATCCACGCGCTGTGGTGCTGAAAGCACCGCGCACAATACAAAATAAAAGTCACGTGGTGGTTGTGGTGATTGTGGTGGTGGTTGTGGTGGTGGTCATCGCGCACGCCACGGTGACGAGCGAGCGCTTCAGAAGGTGAACACCACGAGGGTGCCGTCCACGCTGGTGCAGAGAGAGAGAGAGGCCTTTCCGGCTCCCCAGCGTTCGAAGACGCGCACATCACCAACGTGTGTGTGGTACGCGTGCTCCAGCCGGAGCCGTGCCTTAAGCAGGCGAGAGAGAGAGAGCTGCTGAAATACAAGGTCTTATGTAGGCGGCCCTTGCCTGCGAGCATCTGGCCCTGCTGCTGATGAGACGCAGAACGTCGAAACCGGTCCCAGAGTTTTGCTTCTGCTGAGCAAATGCCACCGAAGGCCGTGCGTGCTGATGGGATGGGTTAAACAAAGAGACGTTTTGTGTGTTAGACGGGGCAGACAGAGCGTCTTGGTGATGTCACCGCCACTTAGTGGAGGATTGCGGCTGTGGTGGCAGCAGCAGCGGCGGCGTGGTGGTGGTGGTTGTGAAACACGGTGTGGGATGAGACGAGCGAAACATGATGCAGCAAATCTGGCTGTGACGGTCCCACCTGATGACGGAGACTTGTGTTGCCTCCGAAACGTCGTGATTTTTATTTTATTAATTTTAATTTCATTTTTTACCCACGTGACTTTACCGAAAGAACTAAGAGTATGAATCCTTGCAGTCACGAAAGCTTTAAATCTGGAGCGAAATATGGTTCATCCGAGTCCTTCGCCACGGGGGTTGGTGGGTGAAGGCGGCGAATGCGACTGTAGAGCGCCCTCTAGCGGCCGCGGCAGCAGGGAAGGTGAAGCGACATTGACGCGAGATAAGTTGTAGGGGGGTTAGGGGGTGGAACGATGGACTTGAAGCAGCTTTTACACGCGAAGACGACCGATGCCGGCTCCACTGAAAACGACGTTTCGCACTTTGCTGAAATATTCCAGTAAAAGCCGTACGCGGGCCTGGTCCTGTACACGTTTCCAAACACGTGGGAACACTTCAGACTCTGCCTTCTCGACAGACCTGTTTTCCACCTGAAGACGGCTGCTTGCGTTGTGGCCGAAACGTCGTGAGAATTATTTTGTTTTATTTTTATTATTTTATTACTTCCCTTCTACGTGACTTTACCGAAAGAACCAAGAAGACGTGGGAACACGGCAAAGACGAAGATCCCCCCCCCCCCTCCGTGTACCTTAACAGACTGTTAGGGCGAGTGATGTTAGCGAGCACCTATGACGGCCGGCACGGCACGCGAGGGGGTGGGTGATCAGCACCACGCCCGGCCGTCTCTGTCTCCCCAGTGGCGATGTTAATACGCCACTGCACCAGGTACTCATTTGAGGCCGAGGCAACCTGGAACAAGCCCAGGACCGGTTCAGATAATCATCACCAGTGTTGGCCGTGAGCGGGAAGTGAAATCGGTTCACCAGGGTTTCGTAGCGTAGAGCGCTAACCGCTGCACCGCCGCTCCTGCCAAAAGTGGACCCCCTTCGACACTTGGAGTCCCAGTCTCACAACAACAGTAGCCATTCGCCACTAAGTGGCGGTGACGTCACCACGACGCTTGTGCCAGGCTATGTGCACCTTGAGGCCACGTGAAGTGTCGAATGCCCGCTGGCAGGTCACGGGGCAGACCCAGGTGCCACGGGTCGACCGACTGAGATGACTGGCTGATGCACCACCTGTGCCCCCTACTGTGCCAACTTGCTGTGCTTCAGCCACCCGGCGCTCCGCTCGTTGTTGTGAGCGTCGTTCATCCGCCCTCCGTTGTTGTTGATAACGACTGCCTCCAACTGCCCAGTAGCGTCCTTCACGAGCTTCCTCCACAGAAGCTGATCTTGACACCGCTGGTACCAGTCATCGACAAGTCCACTCAGCTCCACATCCTCCTGTACCACATCACTCCATCTCTTCTCGAGCCCGTGCCGCGCCCGTTTAGCCCCCTCCATCCGGCCGAACAAAAGCTGTTTAGGCATGCGGTGACTGGGCACGCGGGCTACATGACCCAGCCAAAGCACCCTTGTCTGCCGGAGCTCACCGATGGGACTTTGTCCAGATCTCACACGCACTGCAGGACGCACACATACCGAGCAATTCAGCCGGAAGCAGCAGAAGCGGCAGCAGCACATGCTTTATTAAGTCAACGACCACGTTAAAATAGACTCTCTTTATTCACAGAAACCAACCGTGCCATTACACATCGCCGAGTGTTTATTGCTTCCCCTACGTGGAGGTGCGGGCTGTCTACGTCCCTGCCCAGAGCTACTCAAGCCCCCCTCCATCACCGAGCCCAGTGGTCGGCTCCAGGGCCGCACGCGCCTCTTTGCGGTTGCTTCGTGACGTGAATGCGCGTGTCCGCATTCACGCGCATTTCGGCTCTTGAAATATTCAGTTTGACTGAATTCGAACAAAAATGTCTCCTTGTTATTTTGGTTGCCGACCCCTGACCTTGCCTCCCCCACGTGGCCACGATCACGGCTCACACCAGTGGACAGCAATAATTAAACCGGTCCTACCTGGATCCTGTCATGCCACCTCCGACGTGACCAAGCTGCACATAACCAGCACGGTGAATTATGGTCAAACAACCCCCACGACCGGTGCGGCGTGTGAACAGCGGCGTAGGTAGCTATCGAGTAGTGCGCAGGGCGGTGCAACCGCACCCGGGGCCCACGTGCCGGACGGCCAGAGGTCGCAACCGGGTACCCGATACCCGTACCCTACCCGATACCCGGCTACCCGTACCCGGCCGGGTAGCCGTCTGCGACCCTGGTGCGGCCGGGTACGGGTAGGCCGTGAGTCACTGGTGAGTAACCATTTGTCACTCATTTCGGGTAGGGTATGGGTAGGGAACGGGTACCCGTACCCGGCCGTACCCATTTGCGACCCTGGTGCGGCCGGGTACGGGTAAGGAATCAAAACCCATTTGCGACCTCTGCGGACGGCCCCAGGCAGACATGTCCCAAGGGTAAACCGGCGAATCGGGGCGATCGCCCTGGGCCCTGCACTGTGGGGGGCCCCGCGCTTTGATGTCACGGCGTCCGATATAATACTTTCGGTTTAGGTTGAAGGCGTCGGTGGGGGGGGGGGGGGAGCCCACACAGTGGGATTTTCCCCGGGCCCCACGGCCCTGGGCCCAAGTACTGGGCTACGAAGAGAGTTGTAGAGAGGGGTGGTCCCATTCATTCTTTGCACAGGGCCCATAAGCCAATGAAGGTTATTCACCGTTTGCCGAGGCCTTCGTCCAGCAGTGGATTGACCGAGGTGCGTGCATTAATTATAATTATTTATCACACGTTATTCTCGCCACGGAAGGGTTACATTCTCACGACACAGCAATTGATACGATTGACGGCTCAACGCGTTAATGCCTTATTCACCCGGTCAGTCGAGTATTGCTTCACTGGAAAACTGGTGCTTCAAAAGAATATTCACACTGCTGAGAATTTGCAACAAAACCGCAAGAAATGTGCCGGAGAATATATTCCAGGGCACGCATTGACAATAATGGCTAACAAGTCCAGACTTTTTAAAGCTATTCATATACATTCGTTATCACGTGACAGTGTATTATCCGTTCTTTTTCCATTAAAAACGATAGTCCCATATAAGTGTTAACATTGTCTTGAAGCACCCTCGCCTGACAATGCTGTCTCCATGCACTGGCTTAAATCAGGGGTAGTGACCGTACGGACCACGGGCAGGGCACGGCCCTAGACTTCCACTTCGCACGGCCGCGCGGCCACCGCTTGCAAACAGCCCGCATGTAATATTGATCTGTGCTGCCCAGCGCTGCGTTTGCTCTCAGGGCTGCACTGCCCTGCACTGCTCTCCGGCGGGCTTCCGGGCTGCGCCGCTTTGGCGTTGTTCGGCACGACGCCCGGACGCTTCGCTGCACGTGCCGAGAGAAGCTTTGCTCCTTTACTTCTCCAGCCCCTTCGCCCTCTGCCCCCCCCCCCCCCCGCGAAGAAGCTCCCTGAAGCTGCTCTCGGCGTGTGGAGCGAAACGTCGGGACACCATAATTTCGAACAAATGCGAGGCGCCAACCTGAAGACAACGTCAGAGAGCTGCGGTATTCCAGCCGTCACTGCCAGGATCTTGGCCCCACACCGATCGGGTACGAGAGGGGAATGTTCCTGAAAATCCTCGTACCAAACTCTGCCCTTATAAAACTCAACGTTTAACCTACTCACGCCGGCTTGTGCCCGCCCTCACAGTCGGCCATATTTGCGGAATACACCACGCCGTCGTTGACCCTGGCCATTGACCGAGCAACCCAACGTTCCTACCAGCTCCCTCCGCAGGAGAAATGTTTCACAAAGCCTTGGACAGACAGCCTGACGGACGGCCAGTCCGGCGGACAGACAGGCGCCTTTTATATTGTTGGCGGCACGCTCAGTCCCGTTTGCCACTGCGTTTCCGGCACACTGACAGAAGTGGCCGAGGTGCTGTGTGCGTTCGTGTGTGGGCAGCGGTCGTGTAGCGGTCAGCACGCTCCGCTGCTAACCCAGAAACCCGAGTTGAATTCCCGCTCACGGGAGACAAAGGCGGCCGGGCGTGGTATTGGCCACCCACCCCCTCGCATGCCATGCCGGCCTTATTAGGTGCTCGCTAACAGCACTTGCCCCAACGGTCTGTCAAGGCTACATGGGTGTCCTTCGTATTTTTTTGTACGTATGGCTGTTCACCAAAGGAATTTGAAAAGTCCGATGCGGCGCTCAGGTAAGTCAAAGGTTAACCCGGCCTTGGTTTAAACTGTCATTTACGGCAGGCAGCTTCTATCAACAACGCACCAGGTGTGTGTGTGTGTCCACTCAGGCCTGCAACGCAGGTGAATGTGTGTCCGTTGCTGGACACACACACACAAGCACACACGCATACGTCAAAGTACAAAGATCCCTTTCATAGCCTTGAACAGTTGCTGTTAGCGAGCAGCACCTATGAAGGCCGTGTCACCCGACGGGGTGGGTGGCCGCCTTTGTCTTCCTAGTGCAAATGTTTAACACAACCCACCAGGTACTCATTTAAGGCTGAGTCGACCCAGGGGAGGCCGAACCGGTTCAAATATTCCCCACTGTTTTTGGTCGTGAGCGGGAATCGAAGTCGGGTCACCGGGTTCGTAGCGTAGTGCGCTAACCACTGCGCCACCGCTCCCCACTGGACCCACCCACACCACACGTCGTTCCTGGCATGAGTATAAAGTGTCGTAGGTTTTCATTTCATTTGTTTGCAATTACACTGTACAATCCCGAACCAAAGCATTGTGTCCCAACCTTTACCATGGGTCCCTATCAAGTTTTTGGTCATTTTTAAGTTTAAATCAAACCGCTCTCATCTTGTAGCTATGCACCTAAGTTGTGGATTCCCAGCTGTCCCGTACGTGACTAAAGATTCGTTTGTGAGAAAAAATTGTTTTAAGTCAGGGTCATGCACCTTTCGACAGCACCCGTCGTGACATCACTGGCACGGATTCTCTCAGGCTAAATAAAGATTCCAACTCGGATTAAAACCGTGTGGGAGTAATGTCACAGTGATGCTACGGGAGTGCCATGATGACGCACAGATGATGGAGTCTTTGTAAGTCCTTTTTATTCTCATTAACCGAAGCTTCAAGCCAGATCTGGTGTGAACTATAATTACAATTACAGCAGCATTGTTAGCTGAACACTAGAATGGCAATTACCATTGTGAGTGCCACTCGTGATTTTGAACGCAACTCATCATTTTACCAACCAGCGCTCTCAGCAGACTGCGTGCTAGCCCCCCCCCCTCCAAGTCACCCTTCGCTCAGTGGGAGGTCGCTCATTCTCCTGTGCTGCCCCATTGCCTGGAACTCCACCCCCAAGCCATCCGTGCTGTGGGCTCCCTGCCTCTATTCAAGTCCCGGCTCAAAAGCTTCCCACCTGCCGATGACTGTCTGCCTCTCTCTCTCGAGCAAACATGGAGACCCACAGACTCACATGGAGACCCATAGACTCACAAAGAGAACCACAGACTCACTGAGACCCACAGACTCACAAAGAGAACCATAGACTCACATGGAGACCCATAGACTCACAAAACGAACCACAGACTCACTGAGACCCACAGACTCAAATGGAGACCCATACACTCACAAAGAGACCAATAGACTCACAAAGAGACCCATAGACTCACAAAGAGACCCATAGACTCACATGGAGACCCTACACTCACAAAAAGAACCAGACACTCAAATGGAGACCCCTACACTCACAAAGAGAACCATATACTCACTGAGACCCACAGACTCACATGGAGACCCATAGACTCACAAAGAGAATCATAGACTCACTAAGACCCACAGACTCACATGGAGACCCATAGACTCACACAGAGACCCATAGTCACATGGAGACTGGTGACTGACTGCCTCTCTCTCGACACAATTAACAAGCCCACTGGTTCTGTACAGTATCCTGAGATGCGGTCGCAGATACGACACTCTGTAAATCCAAACAGTAATTGTATTGCGTAGACACCCATCGACTTACCTAGCAACCCCATAGACTCGCAGAAACCGACTCACATAGAGAGACAAATTCACAAGAGAGACCTCTCTTCTTTCCTCTGCCAATGACTTACCGACTTTCTATCTCTCTGTATAAAATAAATACGCCCACCGGTTCCGTACAGGCTGCAGTCGCATGTAGACACCGCGATATATACATCCGCATCGTATTGCAGTATTTAGCTTTTCCCTGATACACACAGACGTTCACACACACACACCTCCCTGTGGTCCCACTAAGCACACTTCAACATGTGCCACAACTGTCGTACAATCGCGATGAGACGTCATTTATTTACTACTTTAGAGTTGGTCATTTGCGAACTGCTGGAGTTAAGAGAGGGAGCGTTCCTAAGGTGATAAACAGCTCTTATATTCTTGGTTCTTTTGGTAAAGTAACAGTAGAAGGGAAATAATAAAATTATTAAAATTATATCTTTTTAAAATAATTTAAAAATGATACATTGATTTATTTTATTATTTCCCTTCTACGTGACTTTACCGAAAGAACCAATAGTATGAATCCCTGCAGTCACGAAAGCTTTAAATTCAAATTTAACAGCTCTTATCTTGTAGCTACATACCGGGGCTGTCCTCCACGTCGTCATGATCGTGCTCATCGGCGTCGCGCCATGAGAGACGAAGAAGAATCCGTGAGGAACTCTCGCAGAGCAAAAGTGTAACCCCCTTCGTGATGACCGAACGGCCCGTGGAAGTGGAAACCACAGAGCTACTTCGATATCTTATCAGTGAGCTCCGATCCGCCCAGCAGGGGTCAGCACTTTCCCACCCACCCTGCCAACGAGTAACGCTCTTCCTATGACAGTCTAACAGAACTATTTATTCTCGAAGCTGGAGTTTAGCTAAATTAAGTGACGGAGCCAAATGTGTTTCTTTCGTGTGCAGTTGTAACGTTGTGACGTTGTTGTTGGACCGTTTTTGACCTGCGCCTACTGGATTCCTCCAAGATGAATGTCGATTCTGAGTTTTTGGTGACTGGGCCGAGACCATGTAAACTCGCTACATGCGAGAACTCGGTTTAATCGCAGCGCAGTCTATGCGAGTCTGTGGGTCTGTATGTTAAGTCTATGGGTCTCTACGTGAGTCTGTGGGCCTCGATGTGGCACTCATTGTTACCCCCTTCTCTGCGTGGTTGGCACACGAACCCAAACTCTCATTCACGGAATTTGCCAAACATCCCAACTATCGCAGAACCGACTCCTGAAAATTAATCTTCAGACTCAGTAGGAGGATTTTCCTGGGTAAACAAATGACACTGTTATAATTTAGTGGCGGTGGCGGCGGAGTGATTAGCGCACAACGCACTGTGAACCCACGTTCCTGGTCATGGCTCACATAGGTGGCGAGTGATGCCAGAAACCGGTCCTGCGTGCCTCCTGCCCTCGCTCTCACTGACCGGCCAGAACCCAGTTTAACCACGAGCGGCTGCCTGGATGTGGAACGAGGATCTCGCCGGTTCCAGCTGGGCTCTCTGAACCCCGCACCTCCCGGCCACCTCCTAGTCACGAAGAATTTAAACTGGCTACCACGTGCGGCTGCCCAGAGCACGGAGCCTAACAGGTGAAGCTACAAGAGAAGAGCTGTTCGTTTCGTGGGCCGCCGCCCTTCGCTTGTCGTGCCCACGAGGCGACACGGTTTTTGGTTTAGAGGACGAGGTGTTTGCCCTCCCCAAATTTCCCTCCTCCCCCACGCAACCCCGTCCTCCTCCACCACCTCGTCGTCGTCGTCGCCGAGGCTACCGAGGTCACGTGGTTCCGTCAGTTCTTCTGTGGCCGCGCCGCCATGAGCAGTGCGATGAGGCAGTAGATGGTGCCGCCCACGGTGAGCCCCATGGTGGTGCGGTAGAGCAGCCGGTCGGCCATGCCGCGCTTGAGGTGCACGGGCAGCCCGTCTGCTCGCTGGCGCAATGAGAAGAGGAAGGAGAAGGATCACGCACACGCGAATGGATTCGGCAAAACATGTGTTACCTGCTTTCCAAGAATACAAGAATGTTAAACTAAAACTTAACTATTTTGCCTGGCTACAAACGATAGCTCAACGAAGTGGATTATCATCATGTGGAAATGTATAGCAGCCAAACACCCTAAAGGTGTGATGCTGATTCTAAATGTGGAGGGAAAAACCAGAGGACCCCGAGAAAAATCTACGCAACCATGGGGAGAGAGACACCGCAAATTACAAATATACAGCAGGCATCGTCAGGGTCGTGATGGAACCCACATCCTCCTGTTTCCCAGGCGAAGTAGTTAACATCTTGCCACCGTGTGGGGAGGTTATAAATGACCCCCAGATGGTTTGGGGGTGCTTCTGTGCTTCGCGAAGCGTCTTAAGCCCTCTTACCTGGAAGAATTTCTGCAGCTCGGGGACTCTGTTCTTCCCCAAGAACGCCGGTTGACTCGCTTCCGAGGCGGCCTTCACCGACCCGGAAAACACCATGGGGGGTGATTCAGCGGGTACGGCTCCCCGCAAGCCCTGGGGGGGGGGGGGGGGGGTGGGGGACAGGCAAACATGTAACCTTGGGCCAACGTTGGTTGACATGGGCCGGCGTCATCGGCGGCTTAACGTCGGTGCTATACGTCGGGAAAAAGTTGCGCGTTTACTGGCTGAAAGAGATGACAGCAGGTACCAAATACGACACCATTCGCCACTAAGTGAAGGTGACGTCACCATAACGCCTGTGCCAGGCCAGGTGCACTTTGAGGCCACGTAAAGTGTCGAAGGCTCGCTGACAGGAGGTCTCGGGACAAAACCAGGTGCCATGGGTTGGCTGACTGAGATGACCGGTAGATGCACCAGCTGTACCCCCTATCCACTGCGGGAGGAAGCTTCAGACTGGTAAGGGAATAGCCTAATATACACTGCCCAAGAGGCTATGCTTGTACTGTGTGTGTGTTGGAGTATTTTTTAGGAAGCCACTGGAGCTATGCAATTTAAATCTAAATTAAAAACATGTTTCTTTCAAACTGCTTTTTTGTGTTTAGTTTGTTGTCCTCCTGCACCTCCGATTAGCGCGGGTGGCTACGTACGGTGTGAAAGACCCATAGACTCACACAGAGACCCATAGACTCCCACAGAGATCCATACTCACAAAGAGACCCATAGACTCACACAGAAACCCATAGACTCACACAGAGACCCATAGACTCACACAGAGACCCATAGACTGGCACAGAGACCCATAGACTCGCACAGAGACCCATAGACTCGCACAGAGACCCACAGACTCACACAAAGACCCATAGACTCACACAGAGACCCATAGACTCAGACGGAGACCCATAGACTCACACAGAGACCCATAGACTCACACAGAGATCCATACTCACAAAGAGACCCATAGACTCACACAGAAACCCATAGACTCACACAGAGACCCATAGACTCACACAGAGACCCATAGACTCCCACAGAGACCCATAGACTCAGACGGAGACCCATAGACTCACACAGAGACCCATAGACTCACACAGAGATCCATACTCACAAAGAGACCCATAGACTCACACAGAAACCCATAGACTCACACAGAGACCCATAGACTCACACAGAGACCATAGAATAGACTCACACAGAGATCCATACTCACAAAGAGACCCATAGACTCACACAGAAACCCATAGACTCACACAGAGACCCATAGACTCACACAGAGACCCATAGACTGGCACAGAGACCCATAGACTCGCACAGAGACCCACAGACTCACACAAAGACCCATAGACTCACACAGAGACCCATAGACTCCCACAGAGACCCATAGACTCAGACGGAGACCCATAGACTCACACAGAGACCCATAGACTCACACAGAGACCCATCGACTCACGCGGATAACCATAGACTCACACGGTTGACCATAGACTCAAACAGAAACCCATAGTTTGTTGTCCTTCCCCCGCACCTCCGATTAGCACGTTTGGTTACGTACGGTGCATAAGAAGTTCAACATACATACACCACAACACACACACGATCATTATCGACGGCCACGCTCTATCCACTGCTGCGTGAAGGCCTCCAAAGAAAGTCGATACCGGCCTTGTGTGCTATCCTGGGGCATTGGGGTGGCTCCTATCCGCATCGACGCGCGTGGTGAGGTATGGTCGCGCTCACCGCCTTGACCGAGCGACACGGCGAGGCATCATCCAGCAGTGGAGCGAACACGGCATTTTTAAAATTCAGAAATCGTTTACATTTTATAGTTTGGATCCGCACTGCGGTGGCCGTACATCCAATCACGACGAAGAATATCCGAGCACGTGGTGCTACAACAGCCAATCAGATGCCGCCGTTGCTAATACGAACTTCGATTTCTAAATGAAGCCTAAATCCGAGGCTTTTGGGACTTGTTTCAAGGGTTTCGGGTTGGGGATACAAAGACGGCCGTGAGAGAGACACAACGGGGGGGGGGGGGGTGGTGGGGGTCGCTCCGGCCGTCTTTGTATCTCCAGGTGGTCAGCTTGTCTCACCTGTGGGCAGTAGGCGGCTTGAGGAGAGGCGCCCGCCAGACGCTGCGTGACCCCATTGAAGCGGTAAGCCATGACCGCAACGTGTGGAATCGATTCTCTCTGAATCGATTCGCGAAGCTTTCGATTCCAGGAATCGATCCGGGAATCTCATCGTCGTTGTCGGTCATGATCAATCCACTGCTGGATGATGACGACAACTTCATCCCTGAACCGTCGCCATCTCTCGCAATACCACGATGTTAATAGTCCACCTAGCACCTTTTTGTGTGTTAGTTTGTTGTCCTTATCCCCCCCCCGCCGCACCTCCGATTAGCAACGGTTGCCTGCGTACGGTGCGAAAAAAGTTCAACATACAGACAGGCTTACAGCACACGCACGGCATCGCTCCATCTCCCTGGGGGCGTTTATAATCTCTCAGACTCGTCACCTCCTTCGGCTGCCACCTCGTTATCATCCCCTCCGATTAGCACGGGTTGCCTACGTACGGTGCGAAAGAAATCCGACGTTCCACACGTGCATCACTCCTCGCCGTCACGTGCCCCAACAGCCCCAACTACTGCCAACAATTGTATTGGACAACGCGTCGTTTCACCGGCCCCATCATGGTTCACCATCGGCCATGATCAATCAACTGCTGGATTGAGGGTCTTGTCGCGACAGCCGTGCGGGTCGATCTCGGAGGCTGTCAGCAGAGGGCAGTGCAGCAAAAATAATTCCAATGAACGAATCAATGAATTGATTTGTTGCCCCATTGCAGCGGGTAGGGCGGGCAGCAGACCCGTCATTGGTTCAGCCTCCCCGGGAGGCCCTGGCCCAATCACAATGGTCAGATGTGGGCACGTGGGAGCGAGCCACGTGACACACGATTGCAATTCCCTGAGGCCATATTGGGTAGGGAGACGTCCATGTGTTGGTACACAGTGCAATACTCTTAGGTTTTTTTCGGTAAAGTCACGTAGGTAAAAATAAATAATAAAAATGATGCCTCGCTTGATACAGTAAATCTAGCTGTGGACTGTCCCACCTGATGACGGAGACTTGTGTTGCCTGTGAAACGTCGTGATTTATAATTTTATTTCTATTATTATATTATTTTAATTAATATTATTTATTTTTACCTACGTGACTTTACCGAAAAAACCTAAGAGTATGAATCCTTGCAGTCACGAAAGCTTCAAATCTACACAGTGCAATGTATCGGTACGCAGTGCCAGCATGTCAAAGCATTGATATAAGCAAATACGTACTAGTAAGTTGAATTAAGGTATAAGAATAGGGGTTTCCCCATTTTTCTGGCAACAAAACTGAAACCTTTTTACGAGGAACCGTGTCTGCATTAACCACAATACTTGTGGTCAAAATGCAAACAAAAAACATACTCTGCTAATATATGCATTGTCCTTGAAATTGATTGGTCTACACCAGAGACAGCTTTCTTTTGAGCCGAGTTTCAAACGGTGTACAACCAGAGGACGCCAAAAGGCGTACAGCTCAAAGACAATGCCACTATCAGAGTAATGAGGGATCGGGGTAAGCGTCTACGTATTCTTATATTTTGGTGCTGGCAAGGGAGACCATCATAATGAATTAAGATACTAAGTTGAGAAAAATTGTTACGTACGTGTAAATGTATTTTATTCAATTAAATTAACGTATCTGTACCAAGAGTCACATTGATCAAATTAAAACACTGTTTACGTGTGTACTTAATGGATAAGGGGGTATCTGTTCCACGAAAACAAAAGCACATCCAAGAAGAAATAATATTTTAATGGCCTTCCGGATCAATATTGGCCAGCGATGCTATGTAGCTCTTTCTCAGAAGCGACCTGGCCACAGGTGATGATAGCTCAACGCAGTGGCTTATCATCACGTGGACATTTATAGCAGCCAGATACTCCAAACGCATGTCTATACATTTGGAAGAAAAAACTGGAGGACCCGGATAAAAATCCACGCGACCACGGGGAGAACATGCAAACTCAAAATATACAGGCGTTAGGATCGGGATCAAACTACCTCCTGTATACTCTTAGGTTTTTTCGGTAAAGTCACGTAGGTGAAAAATAAATTAAAATTAATAAAAGTAAAATAAAAAATCACGACGTTTCGGAGGCAACACAAGCTTCCGTCTTCAGGTGGAACCGTCACAGCACGATTGCTGTATCAAGTAAAGAGAAATTCCAAGAGACCCGACCTTGTATATATACTGGTTGAGGGGGGAGGAGCAAGGGTAGCCCCCTGGATCGGAGTTTTTTATTTATTAAGGTAAGGTTGGTGCGGCTGAGGCTGCTGCTAGGACCTCCTGTATACCAGGCGAGGTAGTTAACATCTCGCCACCGCAGTCACGTGAGACCTCTCAGTCTACCAGCCATCACTAGACTCTTCAGTAAAAAACTAAGCCTGACAATGATTATATCGCCGAGTCTCAAGACTCATATTCAGGAGGGTGCTTGCTACATTGAGATGCTCGGACATGAATTCTCTAATTGGTTACGAGAGTTTGGCTTCGTGTGGGAGGAGGAAAACGCCAAAACCTGTCATGCCAGAGGAGAACTTTCAACACGTGTGGATCCCACGTGCCGTGATGCCTACCACTGACAGCACCACGTACATGTTTAGGGTGTGTATTGATGTGTGAAGCATCTATTCAGGTTCCAAGATGATTGCGTGTAACCAGATGATACCACAATGAACCAAGGATAGAGCCTCGTTTGCAAGTCACATGGGGCACTAGCCTGCCAGTAGGGGGCGATGGTTGCTACTGTGTATACAATCCCAAATAAGTACTGTGTGGGTATTTTATTTTTATTTTCCGGTACACGATAGCCTAGTCTTGACAATGACGTCTGGGAGATCTTATCAGGTCCCTCTTTGAAACAGACGGAGTGTAGTAACATTACGGTTATTCCACCCGCAGTATTAATCAGGGCGGCTGCTGAAATCGAACCGTGAACCTACTCTCTGTAACAGAGGTGGAGTGTTATGACATGTTCGTGTTGTGTGATGTATGATGTAACTTATTTAATAATGTTGTGCGTGTGTGTTAGTGGAGTGTTTGTGTTACATGTTAGTGGTGTGTGTGTGATGTATGATGTATCTGATGTCATAGTGTTGTGCGTGTTAGTGGTGTGTGTGCGTGTTAGTAGTGGTGTGTGTCACATGTTAGTGGGGGTTGTGATGTATTTAATGTATTGATGGTGTGTGTTGATGACATGTGAGTAGACGGTGTTCATGATACGTCGGTGGTGTGCGTGTATCAGCATGGTGTGTATCAACGTGGTGTATAGGCGTGGGTGTGTGTATGACTTTGTGGTGTGTGTGCGTGTGTGGTAGTGTGCAATATTTTGCTGTCTTTTCTTGGATTTTCTGTTTGCACTTAGTCACATATTCACTTTAAGATGTTTTTTGTTCATGTTTTTGTTTGTTGCGGTTGCACCCGATTCAAGAGCCGAATGGCTCACAGGGCTATACCTAATAAATGAACTTGAACTTGAAGCTGTTAGCGTGCTGCACTACGAACCCAGCGACCCGAGCTCGATTCTCGCTCACGGCCAACACCGGTGACAATTATCTGAAATCGTTCCTGAGCCTCCCCTAGGTTGACTTAGCCTCGAATGAGTACCTGGTGCGATGTGTAAACATCGCCACTGCGGAGCCAAAAGCGGCCGGGCGCGGTGTCGGCGGCCTTCATAGGTGCTCGCTAACAGCACTTGCCCCAGAAGTATGTGCAGGCTACACGGGGGGTCTTTGTCTTTGCAATATCAGCGGTGGTATCGTCGGTGGCTGTGCGTTGAGCAGCTGGCCTCCTGTTCTGCAGCTGTGCCCCAGCTGTTGCCGCATCTCGCCATGCGGTTGATGTCTCTATACACACACACACTGCTGCCGTATAGGGTAGAACCGGGCGCAGTTATTCGGGGTGAAGCGACAGGCGGGAAGATTGAGCGATATTCTTTGGTTCTTTCGGTAAAGTCATGTAGGTATATAAAATACATTTATTTTATTTTAAATAAAATAAATTTGTTATTTTAAATTAAATACATTTATTTTATTTGTTATACATTCGTGACATAAAAATTTAAATAAATGTATTTTTATTTTAAATAAAATAAATTTATTTTAAATAAAATAAATTTACTTTATTTTAAATACATTTTTATTTTAAATAAAATACTTTTTTTATTTTAAATAAAATACATTTATTAAATTTTTTTATACCTACGTGACTTTACCGAAAGGACCAAAGAGTATGGATCCCTGCAGTCACGAAAACTTCAAATCTAGAAAGATTGAGCGAATTTAAGGCGCCACGGAGTGCAGCGATATCATCAACACCTCGAAACACCACCACGCGCGTCTCCTGTAGCGTGTGTGCATCTGTGTACCTCCCATGAGCTCCGGTGGCTACGCACGGTACGAAAAAAGTCCAACGTACGTACACGTGCATGGATATGCGTAGTGGTCCTCCCCCTAGGTTGACTCAGCCTTAAATGACTGCCTGCTGCGGTGTGTGAGCATCGGCACCGGGAAGACAAAGGCGGTCGAGCGTGGTGCTGGTCACCCATCTCCTGTGTCAGCGTTAATAGGTGCTCGCTAACAGCCACACTCCAGCATGCTGTACAAGGATATATAGGGGATCGCTGTCATATGGATATGCATGTCTGCCTGTGTGCATGCATATTTCCGCGTGTAGGCGTTGGCTGGGTCACGTAGCCCGCATGCCCAGCCACTTCTGTTTGGTCGGATACATGGGGGGCTAAACGGGCGCGGCACGGGCTGGAGAAGAGATGGAGCTGATTTGGAGCTGATGTGGTACAGGAGGATGTGGAGCTGATGTGGTACAGGAGGATGTGGAGCTGATTGGATTTGGCGATCAGCCTCTGTGGAGGATGCTCGTGAAGAAATGCTACTGGGTAGTTGGAGGTAGTCGCCCTCCAACAACAACAAGGAGCGACGCTCACAACAACGAGCGGAGTTCCGGGCGTCTAGAACGCAGCGAGGTGACACACACTGGGGAACACGGGTGGTGCATCTGCCGGTCATCTCAATCAACCCATGGCACTTTCCCGTGACCTCCTGCCAACATCGAGACTTCGACACTTGACGTGGCCTAAAAGTGTAC